AATTATTTAATTGATAAAAAAAATGGAAAGTGGGGGGACTATCTGTATTGGGAAAAAAACTGAGTTTATATTAAAAATGATGTGGCATGACACGTGTATTAGTTGAATGGTCAAAGAACAGCAATTGACTAAGAGGCACGGTGAAAACAGCCACGGGAAGAAGAATTTAAATAAGCACGAGACGATGTATAGATACGAGTCTCGTACCAATTTAAATTATTTGCAGCCAACGGATTAGAAGGCATTGAAAGCAAGGATCAGATGACAGAAAGGAGTCCAAATTCATTATTAAATGTCTGATACGTTATAAAGTTGGTATTTAATAGGAATGATTGTATAACGGCTTATTTAATGTCATTTATTGCTCATGATTATGTCATTAAAACTGATGCTTTATTCCTTTACCTAGAATGATCTATAAAAGGAAGAAGTATCATCATTTGTAAGGACACGAGATACTATTGAGAATACACTGAAATACTTATCTATTTACCCTCTACCATTGTTCTCAAAAGTATTTTATTTTTTATCTCCTGATTATCAGTAACCCGAATTTTTCTTTTAGCTTTGACCAAGAATTCAGATTTTTGGTTAAACACTCATTATGAACTTTCGCCCTTAGGCGTGAAAGACACAAAGTCTTTGCCTTTTACTAATATGAACTTTTCTTTCTGCCTTCATAATATATTCTTCTTATGCTCAGAATAATTTTATCCAAAACTATAATGATTTGCACTTATTGTTTTAATCACTTTTAAGCATAAGGTAATGAAATATGATGATACGGTGAGCAGATACCTTTAGTTGCACTTTTTCATGAATGATGTTCGAATGAGAATGCTTTCCGTAATTTTTTGGAAGGAAATCAGTGAAATTAAAAGGGACTTCCTATGTATAGCCGTCTGGTAATTTCTTAGTTAAATTTCATTTTAGTGTACAAATGATTTTAATCTCGCGTAGTACCATCTGAAATTTGTACAATTATCATATCATATCATATCATACTATACTAAAAATGGGAAGATCTTAAGTAGAAGATTAAATTACTTAAATGCCCATAAAAAATTAATAGACTTTTATATCCTTATAAAACAAAAGAATACCTTTTGTTAAGTACACAACATACGTAAGTTACAAGGTTAGTTATGTAATTTTAAATATTTGTAGATAAATGTATATGAGGTATTCAATTTATACATAGTTATGTCTTAAATTAATACATGTATCACCCTTTGAAACCAGGTGCATTAAAACTTTTCTTCTTTTCTCTTATAAAGGTGTATGGGTCAAAATCTGATCAAGGAGACCACCTAAAATAAGGTAATGAAGAATCAATTAGGCCGAGGTCGTGCTTAAGAAGTAACACTGGCGAGCCGAGCAGCTAATGTCGAGGTCGAGCACTCAGATCGGCCAAAACGGCTAGTTTAGCAATAAGATATTTTAAAGGAATATTCTGTCACGCCCCAAACTAGGGGGGGCGCGACTGGCACTCGATACTGTATTTGATCGAGTTAGCCACTAAACATACTAGCTAACTAAACTGGGGGCCCAACAGATCGGGCAGCACAACATCTGAAATACTAACTCTGGACCATTAAGGTCATGACCTGAATAACAATAAGCTATATAAACAAAGGTAGACGAGCCAAAATAATAAAGTACTAGCTGGTCGACGAGGCCGCGATTGGAGACATACATGCCTACACACATATATATGCATGACAAGCCTGTGGGCTGGAGACTGAAAGCTACAAAACGAAACCCAGAATACTGTGTACACAATAGCCTCTAACAGTGTCATAAGAACTGTCGGAACAAGGCCCCGACTATACCCAAACTGTACACAAAAGTAACCATCTTATGAAAGCTCCAGGAAGAGGTGGAGCTTACCAACTCACAGCTGAACCCCGAAATCCTAGCGGAGGGGTCGATCAGAGTCCCTACCTGGACCTGCACGCACGAAACAAAAATGCAGTGTCCCCAGGCAACGGGACATCAGTACGAATAAAAATATACTGGTATGTAAGGCAGAAAGTAGAATCATACATAGCTGATGTAAAAATAATAATAGTGAAACCACCTGACATTGAAACTCTTATAGCCTCCATGACCGACATTCGACCTCATAGTAATCAGTTATGCATGGTATGCTCATGTAAGCATATGTCGTGAATACATATATATTGATGCAAATGCATGACATACCCAACCAAATGCTAGCAATGGCAGTCTCTCTCGGTAGCTAACCGGTATCATATTGCCAACCTATGGCCATCTGTACAATATATATAATTTTTCGGGCAAATAGGCCCCTTACCTCCGATTATAGCTCGAAGTCCATGCATAATATGTCATGTATGATATGAACTTTGAATGCACATAATAGGCCATAATAAGAACTTAACCAATCTTGGCTCATAGGTACTCTTATCCTCATGATCTCATAATCACCTTCGTATCGCATACAATTGTCTCGTGGAACCTCATATGTTTTCTTTGAATAAAAAAAAAACTTGAAAACTTAACTCGACTTTTAGAAAGATAACTTAACTCTAAAGATGTTAATAAAAAATTTAAGGTGCTTCACTTAGTCCTTATACCTGATTTCTTGATAATTAGTAAAGGAAAGTATATCAAAAATCAAGTGTTTTAATAGCTTAAACGTAAAATTTATATTTGAGATTTTTGGAAATCGATGTGTCACTTTAAAGATTTTAAAATAAACTTTAACAAGGAAGAAGGACTGATCGTAAATACTAAATGCCTTTATTTTGTTTGGTCACACAACCCAAAGACAAACAAGAATTCATATATATAGACATATGGATAAGAAAACCGACAAAATGACATATATAGATGTTGAATACCCTGATTAACCGAACGAGTGGAATATCAACCTAATAGCATCATGAAATTCTTCAGCTACGATCCCAATGCCTTTCACAGAAGGTCTTTCTAGCAATAGAATAGTAAAATATCACATTTGACGTCTTAGGAATTTCCAAGAATTTGTGCAAAGAGGAAGGACGGAGCTTAGCCTTAACATACCTTCCCAACGAACGTCCGAATGCCTGTAGTTCCCTCACAAAAGTTGTTCCTTACGTCCTAAGCTTCGCAAACACTATATATATGCAGCTTATACGCACCTATAAACAGTTCATAATTGAGTTTAAATCGGCAGATTTACCATATGGCCCTAACTTGACGAAACGTCCGTAGAACTTTATAAAAACGATCATAAAAGAGTCTCAAGTTGATTACCTTGGAAAATTAAGTATAAATCCTAAAGAAACAGCAAGAACAACAAATTTCTATATTCCAAAAATAGCTCCAAACACATCTAATAGAAGGGGGAAAAGATTGCAAAGCGTAGAGATTGAGTTTCTAGGCACGAGGACAAACTTTAATGGTAGAAATCGTTAAAAACATACCTTAATCACTCAAGAACACCATGGAACCCTCTCTTCATCTCCCTCACTGGTTTAGGACAAAAATGAAATGTTTTGGGGTCTTACAAGTCGGATTTTCCGACTTATACCACTTGTTTGACCCGACTCGGTTCGTGATCCGGTTTTAGCCTGGATAGTCCGGGGTAAAACAGCCATAACTCTTTACTCCAATGTCCGTTTGATGTGAGGTTTTTTTGGTTGCAAACTAGACTTGTATACATTCAATTTGATAGGTTGTGGGTCCCATAACTCATTATATATTGGGATAAATGATCTGATACATTTGACCCAAAGTTTAGAAAAATTATTAGAGAAATTTACGATAACCTTTGCCGACCTTTATTTCGCAACTTGCTTGGCTCCAAGACTTAACATGTGACCCATGTGATATTATAATACCTCATAATACACTATTCTTAGCATATTAGACACTCTTAGTCTTATCCCACAGGTGCAAGTTAACTTAAATCTTCTGAACGCGCGGGGTGCTACCCGAGCCATTTCTTTAACCACGAACCTTTGTTTGAGTGATTCCTTTGACCTAAAGCTTTAGTTAGTTCCTTGATATTACCACACATTTTCAGTGTTATTCTCCCAATGTTCTATACCCAATCCTATATACTTAATCTAACCACGCCACGTTACGTATATTACGTAAGAGAAGAGAATAAAACACATGGGGTCTCACAGTCTTCCCCCCCCCCCTTAAGAAAATTCGTCCGTGAATGGGTCAAATCAATTCCTTGGTTCATTTTTTTCCGCTAATACGTTATTTGTGAGGATATATATGTTGCATTTGCAAAGCATAAATCAAATTCTGAAGATTCCAACTACTAGGCTTCGTATAGCTATCTCGCAATAAGAAATTTAAATGGCACTTTCTTGTCATTTAAAATCCAATTAAGTGTTGTAAAGAAATAATTGCCAATTATTTAAATGCGACTCACCTTAAGTCGTAAATAGGTAGGGGTACTTCTTCCTCATTTCCTCCTCAGCTTCCCAGGTCATTTCCTCGATGTTGTTATTTTGCCATAACACTTTTACGGAAGCCACTTCTTTAGTTCGAAGCTTTCTTACCTGCCGATCTAAAATAGCTATTGGTACCTCTGCATAAGATAAGTCTTCAGCAATGTGAATATCCTCAATGGGCGTAATACGTGAAGGATCTCCAATGCACTTTCGCAACATAGATACATGAAACATAGGATGGAATGCTCCCAATTCTGAAGGCAAATCAAGCTCGTGCACCACCCTACCAATCCTCCGAATAATCTTATACGGTCCAACATACCTGGGGCTGAGCTTCCCCTTCTTTCCAAATCGCATGACGCTCTTCATAGGCGATACTTTCAAGAAAACCCAATCTTCTACATCAAACTCTAAGTCTCGTCGTCGAACATCTGCATAAGACTTCTGCCGACTTTGTGCTGTATGCAGACGGTCTCTAATAAGTTATACCTTTTCCATTGCTTGCTGGACTAAATTTCAGACCTAGCAACTCTGCTTCCCCGACCTTGAACCAACCGATCGGCGGCCTACACTTCCACCCGTATAGTGCTTCGTAGGGGCCATCTGAATACTAGCTTGGAAGCTGTTATTATAAGTGAACTCAATAAGAGGTAGATGATCATCCCAACTTCCTTTAAAATCTAACACGCAAGCACATAACATATCCTCAACTGTCTGAATAGTATGCTCTACCTGTCCATCAGTTTGCGAATGAAAAGCTGTGCTAAGATTTACCTGCGTGCCTAGACCCTTCTGGAAAGATTTACAAAAATGTGTTGTAAATTGAGCCCCTCGATCATAGATAATAGATAATGGTACCCCGTGAAGGCGCACAATCTCCCGAATGTAAATCTTGGCATAATCCTCGGCTGAATATGTCGTCCTGACTGGTAGAAAATGAGCAAATTTTGTAAGCCTATCAATAATTACCCAAATAGAATCATACCTCCGTGGAGTGTGAGGCAAACCGATGATGAAGTCCATATTTATCATGTCCCATTTCCATAATGGAAGTTCAATACACTGAGTTAGGCCTCTAGGCCTATGATGTTCGACTTTAACTTGCTGGCATTTAGGACATTGGTCTACCATCTCTGTGATATCTTTTTTCATTCCATTCCACCAATAGATCTATCGAAGGTCCCGATACATCTTTGTCGCTCCGGGGTGAACTGCATATCTAGAATAATGGGTCTCCAAAAGAATCTTGGCGCGGAGCTCTCCGACTATCTGTACACATAAGCGGCCCTAGTATCTAAGGACTCCATCTCCAGTTAGCTCAAATAAAGGTTGTCGCTGCTGTGGAATACTTTCCCTCAGTTTTATAAGCTCAGGATCCTCGTGTTGTCTCTCTTTCACTTCAATAACAAAAGAAGATTTTGCCGTATTCTGAACAAGAATGTGTCCACCCTCTGCATCTACCAAACGCACCTGCAAACTAGCTAGTTGTCATAGATATTTGGTCATCTTGACCTTATCAACTTTAACATGGCTTAGACTGCCCATGGACTTCCGGCTAAGAGCATCAACAACAATATTAGCTTTGCTGGGATGATATAAAATATCAACATCATAGTCCTTTAGTAATTCTAGCCATCTTCTTTGTCGTAGGTTCAGCTTCCTCTATTTAAATAAATACTGAAGGCTCTTGTGGTCGGTGTAAACATTAATATGAACCCCATATAGATAATGCCGCCAAATCTTTAGGGCGAAGACAACTACAGCTAACTCAAGATCGTGCATAGGATAGTTCTGTTCATGTTTCCGCAACTATCTGGAGGCATACGCGATAACCTTACCACGCTGCATAAGAACACAACCTAGGCCAATTCTCGAGGCATCACAATAGACAACATAACCCTCGGTGCCATCCGAAAGAGTCAAGACAGGTGTCGTCGTAAGCCTTTTCTTTAGCTCCTAAAAACTTTGTTCACATGCCTCAGTCCACTGAAACTTAGCTCCCTTATGTGTCAGCTTCGTCAATGGTGCATAAATAGAGGAAAATCCTTCCACAAACCTTCGGTAATACCCTGCCAAACCTAAAAAGCTACGAACCTCTGTCGGATTCAAGGGCCTTGGCCAAGTCATCACAGCTTCAATCTTTTGGCCATCAACCTTGATACCATCGCTGGTAATAACATGACCAAGAAAAGCTACAGAAGTTAGCCAAAATTCACATTTAGAGAATTTAGCATATAACCTGTAGTCCTGGAGAGTCCGCAATACATCTCGCAAATGATCCGCATGCTCGGCTTTCTATCGTGAATATATCAAGATATCATCAATAAACACAATCACAAATTCATCCAAGAATGGTTTGAATACCCGGTTCATAAGATCCATAAAGGCTGCTGGGGCATTTGTAAGCCCAAAAGACATGACAAGGAATTCAAAATGGCCATACCTCGTCCTAAATGATGTTTTTGGGATATCAATATCCCTGACTCGTAGCTGATGATAACCGGATCGCAAGTCGATCTTCGAAAAGCATTTTGCACCTTGTAACTGGTCGAACAAGTCATCAATCCATGGAAGAGGATACTTATTCTTGATAGTGACTTTATTTAGTTGCCTGTAGCCAATACACATCCGCAAGGAGCCATCTTTCTTTCGAACAAAGAGCACTGGAGCACCCCATAGGGATGTACTTGGCCTAATAAAGCCTTTATAGAGTAAGTCCTTCAGTTGTTCCTTCAATTCCCTTGGCTCTGCAGGAGCCATTCTGTATAGAGGAATGGATATAGGCTACATATCAGGAAGCAAATCTATAGCGAAATCGATTTCCCTTTCGGGGGAATTCTTAGAAGCTCGTCAGGGAATACCGTCGGGAATTCATTCACAATAGGAACTGATTGAAGAGTCACTGGCTCATTATCTATATCCCTTTCCATTCAAGGACAGGCTCACCCAGAAAATCAAATCGGACCAACTTTGCACGACAATCAATATTAGCATAACAAGCTGCCAACTAATCCATACCCATAATGACATCGAAGTCTAGCATAACCAATTCTACTGTGACAACATCTGGGGATGCTTCTGAATCATATTGACATGTGAGTGCATAAAAGCGGTTCTGGCCACCACTAGAACCTGAGGTGTCTCCTCCACCTCTCCCCCTACCACATCCTTGAGTAGACTGTGGACCTGGTCGGGGAGCACGGACTGAGGGTGAAGAGGCTTCTGTGGATCCTGAAGGCTGAGCTGGTGCACCTCTGCCTAACCCTGGGCACCGACTAATAAAATGTCCTGTCTGCCTACAATGATAACATGCACTCGAACCCTGTCTACACTACGCGGTGTGCAGCTTACCGTACTGAGTACATGGAGGAATAAGCTGTCTCATTTGTACGGAACACTCCTGTCGATGGCTCTTAGGCTGGCCGGAGCTCTGCCCCGGTCCTGACTGAATATAACGATCAAACCGCTGGCCCTGCATCTGTGGAGGGAAACTACCTGCTGATCGAGGTGGATATCGATGGAGTGGGGGCTTGAAATCACCTCGTGGCTCCCTATAAGACCCAATAGTACGAGCCCTCTTACTCTGCTCCCTATCCCTTCGAGTATCACGAATCCGACGAGGAAAGTCCTCTGTAGTCTGAGCGAAAGCCTGTATGCGAGAAATATTTACATCATCCGGTATGGATACTACCCTATAGTCTCTAATCAGATGATCCCCTAAACCATCCACATAATGATGAACTCTATCCCTCATGATACGTACAATATATGGTGCATACCTCGCCAAAGAATTAAACTTATGGCTATAATCATTCATACTCATATCCCCCTGCTTCAGGCTAAGAAACTGGTCAAGACGGGCCTCTCGAACCTCCCGTGGCAAATAATGGGATAAAAAAGCCTCAGAAAAGTCCTCCCACTTTGCTGGCAGAGCATCAGGTCCTCTAGATCTCTCCCATGCCTCATACCATAGGACGACTACATCACGTAGTTGAAAAGAAGCCAACTCCACAGCCTCGGTGACGGAGTCATGCATCACCCTCAATACTTTATACATTTGGTCTATAAAGTCCTGGGGATCTTCAGTGGAACTGGATCCTGTAAATAATGGAGGGGACAAGTGAAAAAAACTCTCGTACCGTCGAGCTTCCTGTCCTATCTCTCCGGGCATCTGCTCCTGACTCTATCTGTCGCTCATGAATAGAAACCATCCTAGTCAGCAACTGAACTGCCTCCCTCATCCCCTGCTCCCCAGTCTCTGATGGCGGAACAACAGATGCTAGAGGTCTTGTGTCTCGGGCTGCCTTAGGTACTAATGGAACTGGTGAGGTTAGGGGCACTTCATCTCCCTAGGCTCCAACAAGTGTTGGGTAAGCTGAAACTCGGGGTATTGGAGACTCATTGTGTGCCTCTAAGGGAAATCTATCCCTCTGTCCCAGTGGGGAACGACTGGCACCTTCCCCAGGATTCATACCTATCTCTCGTTGTTCCATCTCCTGAGTATAGGTAGCCTGTAAGATAAGAAACACAAAGCACGATTTAGATTTCATATGTTCTTATAACTTCGCTCTATAGCACGATCTATTAATTGAAAGAAAAATAACCAATCCTAAATGCCTCATAGCCTCCTGATTATAAGTATGGTGCACAACACACCCATAAGCAAGACTCTACTAGACATGGTTTGTGGACTCCCTGGGACATGACCCACTCTGATACCAAGTTTGTCACGCCCCAAACTAGGGGAGGCGCGACTGGCACTCGATACTATATTTGATCAAGTTAGCCACTAAACATACTAGCTAACTAAACTGGGGGCCCAACAGATTGGGCAGAACAACATCTGAAATACTAAGCCTGGACCATTAAGGTCATGACCTAAATAACAATAAGCCATATAAACAAAGGTAGACGAGCCAAAATAATAAAGTACTAGCTGGCCGATGAGTCCGCGATTGGAGACATACATTCCTACACACATATATATGCATGCCAAGCCTATGGGCTGGAGACCGAAAGCTACAAAAAGAAACCCAAAATACTGTGTCCACAATAGCCTCTAAGAGTGTCATAAGCACTGTCAGAACAAGGCCCGTCTATACCCAAACTGTACACAAAAGTAACCATCCTATGAAAGCTTTAGGAATAGGTGGAGCTTACCAACTCACAGCTGAACCCTGAAATCCTAGCGTAGGGGTCGATTAGAGTCCCTACCAGGACCTGCACGCACGAAACAAAAATGTAATGTCCCCAGGAAACGGGACATTAGTACGAATAAAAATGTACTGGTATGTAAGGCAAAAAGCAGAATCATACATAGCTGATGTAAAAAAAATAATAGTGAAACCACCTGACACAGAAAATCTTATAGCCTTTATGACCGACATTCGACCTCATAGTAATCAATTATGCATGGTATGCTCGTGTAAGCGTATGTCGTGAATACATATATATTGATGCAAATGCATGACATACCCAACCAAATGCTAGAAATGGTGGTCTCTCCCGGTAGCTAACCGGTATCGTATTGCCAACCTCTGGCCATCTGTATAATATATGTAGTTTTTCGGGCAAATAGGCCCCTTACCTCCGATTATAGCTCGAAGTCCATGCATAATATGCCATGTATGATATGAACTTTGAATGCATATAATAGGCCATAACAAGAACTTAACCAATCTTGGCTCATAGGTACTCTTATCCTCATGATCTCATAATCACCTTCGTAACGCATACAATTGTCTCATGGAACCTCATATGTTTTCTTTGAATAAAATAAACTTGAAAACTTAATTCGACTTTTAGAAAGATAACTTAACTCTGAAGATGTTCATAAAAAACTTAAGGTGCTTCACTTAGTCCTTATACCTGATTTCTTGATAACTAGTAAAGGAAAGTATATCAAAAATCAAGTGTTTTAATAGTTTAAATGTAAAATTTATATTTGAGATTTTTGGAAATCGATATGTCACTTTAGAGATTTTAAAATATACTTTAACAAGGAAGAAGGACTGATCGTAAATACTAAATGCCTTTATTTTGTTTAGTCACACAACCCAAAGACGAACAAGAATTCATATATATAGACAAATTGATAAGAAAACTGACAAAATGACATATATAGATGTCGA